TGAGATGTTAAGATATGTCAGTTCCTATGTTGAATTGTTGGATATTTTATTGGACATTGGATATCTGATTTCATGTGAGGCAGGTCTTGCCAAGCCCATTTCACTGAGGTATGAAGGCAGTTTATAAGTTTCCCTAATATAGTGGATCTATTTTACTCGAGATTTCCAACAACTTTTAGATGATTTTTCTAGTAAATAGTTTTTGGGGTTGTCACATCAATTTTCTGGTTAGTTTAATGCCTGATTTTTATTGTCATTTGGGCCTATTCTAGAGTTAGTTTGTTAATGGAAAGTTGGTGACAGTGTGACACCAAACATGGAACCATATAATGTTGGGTCTTCATCAGGATCGTTCGGGTATGTTTTCAAACTAAATAGTAGATAATTGTCCTAACATAATGGATTAATGAATGTCTGCCAAGTATGAAAATGTGGAGCATTCATTCTTATTGACTGCAAGGTACAAAGTATCTTTTAAAATTTGCAAGCTATGGTGATGTTATTTACGGCTGGCATAAATAACAGACTGTAAGTAATATATGAATCATATTTTTGTGTATATATGGAATGCATTTATTAATGCTACTATTGGCTTTATGTTAAGTTTATGACCCTTTAGTGACTACACAGTTGCATTATGTGATGAAAATTTAGGATGTGGATATTTATTTGTGTTGAAGGCTCTACTTAGACCTGCTAATCACTTAGTAGTTAGTACTGTATTTGTGTTGATATGCAAGAATGGGTCTCCATAAATATACATTTTATAAGTATATTGCCGACATTTTGGAACTTGTTTAGTATGTTTTTGCCATCTGCTATTGCACTTATCACTTCAATTAGGGTGAGGATGGGCCTCCGCAGAAGTTTGTGTCCCAATCAAAGAGTACGGTATGTTGGTGTCTACTCTTTGCCTTAACGAGACTGTGATTTGCATATCTAGAATAACAGTGGTTTATTTTTAGATTATTGTGTTGATTGTTGCATTTACACCTTGCTGGCTATTTTGTTATATTTTATTTATGTATACCGATCCTATTTTTACTTCAGTGTTTGCCCAATATGCTATGGATTAGTTATTCGTGGTTCATTTTAGATAACAACTTTGTGCAGAATCGTGTTAGAAATCCAGCAATGACTGGAGCATATCCTCAGCAAGGATATCAGGCACGGCCACCTACTAGCTGGGCCCCGCCCGGTGGACAAATGCAGCAACCTGGGTATGGATATATGCAGCCTGGAACATACCCTACTCCATCACCCCAATATAGCATGCCTCAACCACCATACCCTGGTTATCCCCCTCAACCAACATCTGCTGGATATGGCTCTGGCTGGGATCAATCAAATCCAAATCAACAAACAGCTCCCGGAGGTGGTTATGATTATTACAGCCAAGGGCCACCACAGCAACAGCAACAGCAGCAAACTCCTGGAGGCACTGGTGCTCCCACTGATAGTAGTGCTTATGGCTATAATCAACAACCATCCTCTGGTTACAATCAAGGACAAAGCTATTCCCAAGATGGCTATGGTGGATACCATGCACCTGCTCCTCAATCTGGCTATCCAGGTCAGCCAAATCCTGTTCCTGGATATGATCAGCAACAGGGTTATAATTCAACAACTGGGTATAGTAATACTTCCAACACAGCAGCAGCAGATGGCCACACGCCTTCATTCGGGACCCAGAGTGATACAAGTCAAGCACCTCCAAATCAGTCAGCAGCCAGCCAACCTGGGTACCATACTTCCCAGCATCCTAGCCCTAATGCCAATTACCAGCATCAAGGAACAACTCAGCCAGGGTATGGCATACCAACTTCACAAGGTGGATATGGGACTCAGCCACCTGCATATGGCACCAATTATGGGCAGCCCCCGTCTCAAAAGCCCCCGACTAGTCAACCAGCTTACGGGCAGCAGCCGCAACAGTCACCTAGTGCCCAGGGAGGTTATGCACAGCCCCCTCAGGTATATCCTCACTCTCAGCCTTTACCTGCTGTAACTGGTTATTCTCAGCCTGATTCTGGTTCCCAGCGTCCTACCTCTACTGGATATGGTGCAACCCAACCGGGTTATGGCCCCCCAGCCTATGGAGCTCCACCAATGACTCAATCGGGAGTGTCATACAATAGTGGGTATGGTGGTAATAGTTATTCTCAGCCTTCAGCATACTCCACCGATGGAAGTGGTGGTGGTGCACGAGCAACATATGATACAGCACCAACTTCTCAGTCTTCCCAGCCCACAGGGTCGGCTAAAACCTCTCCAGAGAGTTGATTTGTGTTTGCTTTGCTTGAGTGTAGTGATAATGAATTTTCCGTGTATCTTCTTTTTGCCAAGCATGTGGTTTAGTTTCTTGATGTTTTGTTGAATGCAGGATTAATTTGCTGTGGTATCTGTTTATCTTAACTCTTGCAGTGATTGTATGTGTTGGAATTTTAATACCAGTTCAGTTCCATTAATGTTTCATAATTAAGGTTTCATATCCTGTTTTATACCTAAGCTATAATTGTGAGTTTTGAAACGGTTGTTTGTGCTTTAGGGCTTCTAGCTTTTTCTCCTCTGCCTTCCATCAATCAATGATTTCTTTGATGATGGAGGCCCCCATTTCTGGTCTTTATATTACAAATGCTGGCCAGATTTTTTATTATTTTTTTTTTAAAAAAAAAAATTAAAGTTAACTGCATTAGGTTATTCTTATCTCAAATTATTATTTATTTTGATAAAAGCTGTAATTTTTTTTTAAAGAACACCATAAATACAAATAATTTGATATCCAATTCTGAAAAGAAACAGTATTATTTCTTTTGATTAACAAGGAACTATATATATCCCCAAATGGTTCTAATGTAAGCAACCCAAGTAAAGACAAATGAATCTCCACAGCTTCTATAGGTCATTACAGATAATGACCAAGGAGCTAACTATCCGAGGAATTGGCCGAAGTCAGTCTTGTGTGAAATTCCGCAGCGTGAAGGGTTCCGCCCTCGTTTCTCTTGTGGAGTTTCTTCGATCAAATGGAGCTCGATTAGTTTCTGCTAGACGAGAAATAAAGAACATAGCGAACCCCGCGACTCTCACGGTCGCCCCTCTAACAAGAAAATGTATAAATATGGAAACTTCTATCACTGACTGAAATCCCGAGCTTTGAAAGAATTTATATCATGATTTAAGTAAGAATACAAAATCCGCTGCTTTAAAGAGGACTGATGCTGTCAGCTCAGATAGAATGCGTATTACAAGATTCGGCACTACAAAAAGGATAATGGTATGCGAACCAATATTGGGTTATTTACACAGAGGGATGGAGAAAATTGCCCATCTCAATAACAAGACAAATCCACTTTCATAATACATGGCAAGAAAGTTTGAAGTGTGAGGATCAAATTGCTACCTTCTATAATAATTTTATATCTACACGAGTATTTTGGGGTCTGTTTACTAACAGAAAACTGTTCTCTGTTTTCGTTTTCTAATTTTTCAGTTTTCATTCTCTGTTTTCTGTTTAGAAAACTTGTTTACTAACATAAAACTATTCTCTGTTTTCTAATTTCTAATTTTTTAGTTTTCGCCTAAAATTTAGTTTAGATAATATTAATATTTTTGAGCTAATATTTAAAATATTTTTTTTGGATATACTCAGTTGAATGACATGTATATGAATATATAACTTTTACTTTGAATTCTAATATATGTGAGATTTAAATATCCGATATCTAGACCGAACTTGTATTATGATGTAACATAATTAAAAATATTCGAACTAATCATCTATTGAGTTCAATCAAAATCTAAAAAATTATATAGAGTTTAATTCTTAATTTTGATAATGTAAATAATGTCTAACTTTAAAATGTAAGCAAATAAATTATGTTTAAATAAGTAAAGTAAGTAGAAAAGATAGAAGATAGTGATTAGTAAAATAAGATGATAATGAATGTAATCATAGTAATGTGGTTATAGTGACATATAACTAAATAGATGATAGATAATCCTGTTTTCTATTTTGAAAACAGTTTTTAAGTGTGTTTCAGTTTTCCAGAAATTTCCAGAAATTATTTTCAGTTTTGAAAATGGAAACTGTGTTAGTAAACATGTTTTCTGTTTTCTATTTTCCAGTTTCCGGAAATTCCCAGAAATTTCCAGTTAGTAAACGGCCTCTTGATCTTTTTATCATTACACTACTTATTCCCTTTCTATTCTTATATATATTAAATATTGTAATTGAAATTTCCCTTAATTCTATTCTTGTTTACCTAACAATGAAATTTAAATTCTCACCTTTCTTCCATACGGAATTATTCATTTTCTCCTCAATTACCTCCTTATTATCGAATGTGGGTGGGGGAGGGGGGGAGGTGGAGTTATGTTATTTCTAGTAGAGTCGATTGACATCACTAATATTTTACTTTTTATTACCTATAGTATATATATTTTTACAAAACTTGATAAAGACTAATTTTTTTTTAAAGAACACCATAAATATAAAAAACCTGATAGCCAATTCTGACAAGAAACAATGTTATATATATCCAAATGGTACTATGTATGTATAACGTAGGTAAGCAACCCAAATAAAGACAAAAAAAAAAAAAAAAAAAAAAAAAAAAAAAAAAACAATGTTATATATATCCAAATGGTACTATGTATGTATAACGTAGGTAAGCAACCCAAATAAAAAAAAAAAAAAAAAAAAAAAGTATTAACTATGGTGAATCTGAGTACACGTGCAAGTGTACAACCCACGTGAATTCAGAAAAAATATATATATATATATATATATACCACGTGAATTGAGAATGCAAATCTTCTTGTCTCGAGTAGTCCGCGGCGCAACACAAAACAAGACTGCGACAGCTACTTGAGACTTGCCAGCTTCCGTGAGAAAAGATTAATGTGCGAAGAAGGCGTAAGCAAAAATAAAATTATTAAAAATTTTAATTATAATGTTATTAAGAACAATTTGGTCATAGCACTCTAAACTTTCTCCCATGTATTATGAAATGTTTAAGGAGAGTTGAGATTTGCAATATCAAAGCCATAACATTAACAACCTGCTGGAGCTGGAGAATTATTGGAATAATCACAATAACATTATATAACAAAATATTATTACTCCTCTGATCTTGTAGTTGTTGCCTCTGTTCAATATGTGGATCTCCCATCCCCTTCTGTGATCACATCCTTGAATGCACCCCCACTGGGAATCATGGGTAGCACATGTTCTTGATGAGGCACAATCACATCCAACAAGTATGGACCCGGGGTGTCCAGCATCTTCTGAATCGCGCCCCTAAGATCGCTCTTCTTAGTCACACGACCACCGGGTATATCACAAGCTTCTGCAAACTTCAACATGTCTGGGAATATTTCACTCTCTTTAGCAGGATTTCCCAGGTATGTATGGGCTCTGTTTGCCTTGTAGAACCGATCCTCCCACTGAACTACCATACCCAAGTGCTGGTTATTCAACACCATAACCTTAACTGGGAGATTCTCCACCCGAATCGTAGCCAACTCCTGCACATTCATCGTGAAACTACCATCACCATCAATATCCACAACCACCGCATCAGGTCTTCCAACAGCTGCTCCAATTGCTGCGGGTAGTCCAAAACCCATCGCGCCTAACCCACCGGAGGTCAGCCATTGACGAGGCCTCTGGTACTTATAGAACTGGGCAGCCCACATCTGGTGCTGCCCAACGCCAGTACTAATTATAGCATTTCCATTAGTCAACTCATCAAGAACCTGAATGGCATACTGAGGAGGAATGGCATCCCCAAAAGTTTTGTAACTTAAGGGGAACTTTGCCTTCTGCTCCAACACCTCCTGTTTCCAACCCGAGAAATCCAGCTTAAGATTACCACTCATTATCATCCTCTCCTCCAACATTGAATTCATTGCCTGCAGAGCCAACTTTAAATCCCCACAAACAGATACATGGGGCTGCTTATTCTTCCCAATCTCCGCAGAATCAATATCAATGTGAACAATCTTTGCTCGACTAGCAAAAGCCTCCAACTTACCAGTCACACGGTCATCAAACCTAACTCCAAACGCAAGCAAAAGATCACTCTTATCAACAGCATAATTAGCGTGCACTGTCCCGTGCATTCCCAGCATTTGAAGTGAGAGCTCATCTGAGCAAGGATAAGATCCAAGCCCCATTAAAGTACTGGCCACGGGAATCCCTGTAAGCTCTACGAAACGCCTCAACTCCTCACTTGAAGCCAAACACCCACCCCCAACATACAGAACTGGTTTTTTGGACTCAGAAATCAGCCTAATTATTTGCTCCAACAGCATTTCGCTAGGTGGTTTGGGTAAGCGAGACAAGTATCCAGGCAATCTCATAGGCTGATCCCAATCGGGGACAACCAGCTGTTGCTGTATATCTTTGGGAACGTCAATCAAAACCGGGCCAGGACGACCCGATTTCGCCAGGAAAAACGCCTCGCGGACAATGCGAGGGATGTCCTCTACATCTAGAACCAGATAATTATGCTTTGTAATCGAACGCGTTACCTCAACGATAGGAGTTTCCTGGAAGGCATCAGTACCGATCATCCGCCGCGGCACTTGCCCGGTAATGGCGACAATCGGACAGCTATCTAGAAGCGCATCGGCAAGGCCACTGACGAGGTTGGTGGCGCCGGGGCCGGATGTGGCGATGCAGACGCCGGGAAAGCCGGTAGCGCGCGCGTATCCCTCAGCGGCGAAGACGCCGCCCTGCTCGTGACGGGGGAGGACATTTCGGATGATCTTAGAGCGAGTGAGTGCTTGATGAATCTCCAGGGAGGCTCCTCCCGGATAAGCGAACACGTCGGTAACGCCCTCCCGCTCCAGAGCTTCTACGAGGACATCACATCCCTTTCGCGGCTCATCAGGCGCAAATCGGGAGACGAATTTCTCCTTTGGAGGAGCCTTAGGAACGGCGGAGGAAGAGGACGATGACAGAACACTGGAGATGACAGAACGGCGGCGGCGGCGGCGGCTGGAGGAAGGAAGAAGAGGAGTGGCGGTTTCGCCGGAGTTTTGAGGAAGACGGAAAGTAAACCTAGGGAGGAGCTTCGGAGATTTGGAGGAGAGAGAATTCCGGTCGGAAACGGCGGCGGAGAAGGAAGGCTTAGGAGTAGCAGCGGCAGCCGCCATTGTTGGACGCCACGGTATGCTTCAAAGGAGAGAGAGAAAATTGGGTACAACTGAAGCCCGAAGGAGACGGGATTTTAATTTGCCGCAATTAATAAGTCGTTACATGAATGAAAAGTCTATAATACCCTTTGGGCCACAAACGAGGAGAAAAAATAAACAAGAAAATGGTAGTTGAGCCCTGTACTAAAAAAATTGGATGGTGTCTTCTTGAATGGGACCCAATGTTATAGTACTACTTAACATTACTTAATTTACCATTAAAAAAAACATATGTATTATGTATTGTTGTAATGGTCCATGGAGTACGGAAATTGGACAGTATATAATATCAATGTATGACATGAAATCGTAATTACTTTGTACATCGTATAGATGATAATAATGAGTTATATGTGTGATATTATAATGTTTAAATTAAAGAATAAGAGAACACATTTAAATATATAAATGAATTGACTTAAATAACTTAATGTTGATTGATCTAGGCCAATGCCATGTGAATTTGGTGATATGGATTTTGGGGTTTGATCATAATCGTCTAGACTAGAGTTTGTGTTGTTTTGCCGATATCTGCAACCTTTTTAGATAATCAAATATCACCAAATTAACAACTTGGATTATGAATGACAATTTCAATCTGACCCGTGGATATCCACCCGAATCCACCCCGCATGGATCGGGTTTTTTTGGATGATGGTGGGTGGTGGGTCGGGGATGACTCTTAAAAAAGCAAGCCCGTGGTGGGTCGGGTTGGATTCGGGTTCTATGTAAAAGACCCGCCTAGAACCCCACCCGACCCACCATGTGTGTATGTGTGTGTGTGTGTGTATATATATATATATATATATATATATATATATATATATATATATATATATATATAATAGTAAAATAAGTACTAGTATGTAATTATTTATAAAAATTTATATAACTTCGTGTATCTTTTTACTATTTTTTATATCAAAACTACTAAGTTTATTTTTTAAAAAATTAACAATTTAGTTATTATATTTAAATATTTCCATTATTTATGTTTTAGTATCATTAATGGATTTTATTTTTTTATTATGTGTAAATAATTTAAATATTATTTTTTGAAAAACATAATAAGATGATGATAAGTGGTGGGTACCCATAGTGGACACCCGCACCCAGTGGGGGTGGGGGTGGGTTCTGAAAAAGTCCACCCGATGCGGGTTGGAGGTGGAGGTGGGTGGAGAAAATATAAGGTGAGTCGGGTGATGGATGTAGCCCTCCCCGACTCACACCCGACCCATTGCCATCCCTAACTTGGATGGTGTAAGTAGTCGTACACTCTCATCTTTTAATGACTGAATGTATTAATTGGTTTGATGTTTCGCCCACTATCATTTTGAATAGTTTGGGTTTTAACTTGAATAATGAATTTTTCTTTCTTTCTTTCTTTCAAAAAAAAAAAAAAAAAAAAAAAAAAAAAAAAAAAAAAAAGGTGAGGAATTCGAACTTGGCCATCATTTAACCCTTAATTGGGCCGGTCTGGTATTAACAAGAATTATTCAAACGTCAGTATAATATACATTTAAAAGTGTCTCGTGGTCTAACCAAAAAAAAAAAAAAAAATCTCACCAAGATATAGATTTTGGAGTTTGATCATAAACAAGTGATGGCAGGTTTGATTATAAACAAGTAATGGCAGTTTAGTTGCAACAACCTGGCTGATAGGATTTTTGACCAATGGCTAATAACTTGGATGGTGTGAGTAGTCGTACACTCTCATCTTTTAATGATTGAATGTATTAATTGGTTTGATGTTTCGCCCACTATCATTTTGAATAGTTTGAGTTTTAACTTGAATAATGAATTTTTCTTTCTTTCTTTTGTTCAAAAAAAAAAAACAAAACAAAACAAAAAAAAAAAAAAAAAAAAAAAGAGGTGAGGAATTCGAACTTGGCCATCATTTAACCCTTAATTGGGCCGGTCTGGTATTAACAAGAATTACTCAAACGTCAGTATAATATAGATTTAAAAGTGTCTCGTGGTCTAACCCAAAAAAAAAAAAAAAAAAAAAAAAAAAAAAAAAAATCTCACCAAGATATAGATTTTGGAGTTTAATAATAAACAAGTGATGGCAGGTTTGATTATAAACAAGTAATGGCAGTTTAGTTGCAACAACCGGTTGATAGGATTTTTGACCAATGGCTACTACTTCAATTCTACCGCTCTGATTGACACACCTAACTTATAAGCTAGCTAAAAGTTAATAGTTGAAGTTGAAAAGCTAGTAGCTAATAAGATTGAAATATTTAGATATAAGAATTTTAATTAAACAAATTATAATAAATTGTGTTATTTTTGTAAATTAGAAAAAAGAATCCAATAATTTATTTTGAAACACTATTATTTTAAACTACTTACATTTTAACAAACAAATATTTTACCAAACAGAGTTTATAACTAATTTATAATTAAAATAAACTATAAACTCTACCTACCAATTTGTGTAGCAACAAACATTGTAATAAATAGATTCAAAAACCATGTTCAATGACTGTTTTCTCTACAAAAAGATGTTACAAAATGTATGAATTATTTATATGCCCTTCTTACTGCTAGGACCAAAAAGGCCCATGCCCAAGCACTTCACTTGTTGCTGTATCCTAAACTAATTAATATGCCTCCATCAATCACAATCCTCTTCTTTAAAGGATTTGATTCTTGAATGCTGACAGCATCTTTGGTGAGAAGAGCAAAACAAATGCCAAAATTGAGCCAAACACCACTTTAATAAGATATTGCATAGGATCCATGCTGTCAGTTTCTTCCATGTTGGATGTAGACGACGACATTGCCATTGCTGATGGAAGTGCTTCGATCACTGCATCTGCGAGATCAGTGATGAAAGAGGAGGTGCAATTCAAAGCGGGTACCCGCCCCCAATTTACAACTCCAGATTCAAGTGCCAACTCTCTGTACTCCATATCAATCTCTTCAAGAGTCTCTATGTGCTCACTCACGAAGCTGCAATCAGAAGCACTGTGTTATCCACAACACACATACAAGGGGAGACTCGAAATGGAAGATGGAAATGACTAAAAAAGACCAATCAAAAAATTAGGAGGGTGGGTATAAAAAGCAGGAAAAGAAAACAAGATGTCACATAAAAATTAAGATTTAATTTGTGTTACATGGGTCTACTCAAAGTCTGTGTTTATCAAATATCTACCATACAATTGAAGTATAATAGTCAAACACAACACAAAGTTTACCCATAGGGTGTAAATATATATATATATATATATGAATATCATATCCAATAGCAGTGTAGTAAGTCTAAACAAGACAAACTGCAAAGTACAATATATTCATACCTCACTGGAACAGCCAACAGAGATTTCACACCTTTCTGGCCAAGTTCAACAAGAACTTCATCAGTGTAAGGTTTCAGCCACTGTACAGGTCCAACCCGGCTCTGAAATCAGTAGGAAAGAACCAAATTTAGTTCAAGTGATAAAAATACGTGAAACCCCACCATGCCCATGACAGTAACTAAAACAGTAAATTTCTAATAATTTCCACCCACCCATAAAGAAAAAAAAAAAAAAAAAAAAAAAAGAGAGAGTAAAGCTAAGAACCATGAATGAAGACAAAATAGGATTTGGAGGCTTGGATTCTAAAACCAACCTGGTACGCCAAAGTATGATCATTGTTAGTTCCCCTTGCTTTCAGTTCTTGCATGATCAGGGAAATGCACTCTTCCATCTGATCCCTGTATGGATCACCTGCCTCCTCAACATAACTGACAGGTACTCCATGGGCACTGAAGAAAATCATTGCCTAGATGTACCATGAAACAATGTGTTATAATTATAATGAAAAACATCTACACTTCTACAGTAACCACAAATACCCTCTTTGAAACAGAAAAGGGAAAAACTACACTAATAGATAACACTGTAGCAACCACAAGTCCATAATAATCATATGGAGAAAACAGAGGATAAGAAAGTAATGCACCTCATCGGGCTCTGGAAATTTGTGCAACTCTTCCTCAATCAAGTTGGCCATGGACTTGATGTAACCTTGGCGTTGATACCAGGACTGTATGATTGCCACGGGTAGTCTAGCCAAATATGGATCATTCCTGAAAGCACACAGGTTTATTATATCATATTACCAATCTAACCAAATGTAGATGCATGCATAATTATTAACCTGACAAAAGCTTGAACGAGGAATTACCCGAAAATATTGTGAAGAACACGGATGCTAGATCCAGTTGTAGAGATAGAATATTGAGGATAAAGTGGCAATACAACAAGCCTTGTAATTTCATCCCGTTTTATCTGTCATATAAGCTTACAAGTTAATAAAAAGTAAGATAAAAATACTTGACGAGTATAAAATTTTAAGCTACTATAAAAGAACTGGTGAAACAAATTTTCTTTTCAAATCTATCCAAAAGTAACCACTAAAAGGAAAAAAAGATGCAAAGAAAACAAAATATCCTACTAGGTTACAAATAAATAAAACATGTATGGCTTTCGAATCTACAAACCAAATGTTTCATGCAAAACCAGAAAAAGCTAATCATATTTGTTTGACAAACATGTGTACAAACACTGCCAAGAATATCTACTGCATTTCCTTAAACTTGCCTGTTGAACAGCTTCCTCAGTGAATGGGTGCCAGTATCTCATAGCAACATAGACATTAGCAGGGACTTCCTTCTCTTTCAGTGCCAATTTAATTGCATTTGCCTGCAAGGATAAAATTTTGGAAGTTGAAATACTAAAAGCATGCTTTGTATCATAGAAAGAGACAGCTTTCTTTGCAGAGACGCAACTACAGGTTAGCAGAGAATGCATACCTGCTCGTCTGTAATCCTACGCAAAGGTGAACCACCTCCAATGGCAGCATAACCTTCCTTACTTTTGGGAGCTCGGAGAGTGGAGATTAGTTGTGCTAATGGGCGCTGAAGGAATTGAAATAACCTGGGGAGACGTATGATATCCTGTACCACAAAAGCTGTATTATCAGCATAATATTCAATCTTCATTTTTCAAATTCACCCAATAAATATTAAATGAAATGGACAAAAAATGACTATTATCATACAGGATCAGCAAATAAATTGAACAGGAATGGTTGAACATCATGAAGTGTATCTGGCCCTCCAAGATTCAAAAGAAGCACTCCAATCTTTTCCTCTGCTGTATGTGAAGGAGCTTCAATTACACTTCCAGGATATGTGCAGACCCCAACAGAACAAAATGTCTTGCCAATGGGTTCTCTCTTTTGCAGTGTGCAGTGTAGAGACAATCCTCCAAATACATGGCTTTTGTTTGCAGCTGACTTGGAACAAATGCTTACAGATGCCTCATGAGAACTACAATTCATTTGGCTTTCTCCATATGAGAGGTTTAAGGTAGGAGTCAATCTAGTCTGAGGGCAAGAGCTGCAAAGGCAACAAGGACTTGGAAGTTGGAATATTTAGGTCTATAAGAAAGCAACTAAATCAGCAAAAAACATTGGGAAAGGATCATTACATCGATCACATTGCTTGCCTTTATGGTTGTACACCCACAAATAGTTGTAAAATTCTAAACACCTAATGACTATAAAAAAAAATTGTTCCCTTTTGGAGTAAGATTTGCACAATAACTTAATATTGCATAAATATCTTCAGTCAGACAGTTACAATTGTCAAGAATACAACAAGAAGCAACTCCAAAGAACCTATATCTTATTCTCTTCATTTTTTGTGCTGCTGCTTACTGATATCACAAAATGTCAACTTACTTAAACCCGTAGGGCCGTACTAACACTATGCAATATGTACACATTCATAGCTAAGAAATTGAAAATACAAAAATTGATCTGGTAACATTGGAATAAACTCTGTACAAATCCTACTACTACAAATTTATCCTTTTAATCATAACAGGTTAAAAAACCTGTCCTTTGACCATCAATTTGATTACTGTGACTGAAAAACTGTCAATTTTCAAAATTTTATACATTAAAAAAAAAAAAAAAAAAAAAAAAAAAAAAAAAAAAAAACCAGCTTAAACATCATAAATAGCTTTCATATGGAGGCTTGAAGCTTTATTTTTTTTTTTTAGCTAGTTCACACAAAAGAAATGTTCTGCATTTTCACGCACATGAATGCGAATGACATTAAAGAACATCCATTGATCAATCTACGTTTCAATGGCTTAACCAAAATGATTTTAACATAACCATTCCTTCCAAAAGTGTACGTATCTGAAAGTGTTCAAGAAGTTCACTACTTGGAACCACTTAATCCAGAAATAAAGAGGACTAATTATTGGAACTGAACTATCCAGTATACAACATTGTTAACAAATAGCTACAATGAGTCAAATTCAATTCTAGACAAATTTTCTTTGCTCCTGCTCAGTCACAAGAAAGAAATAGAGAAAATCTACTTAACTTGCCAGGAGAATCTTCTCAAGATGTGCCTACGCACCACCGTAGGAATTATCCTCACAAAGTTTGCTATGTAAGAAAATGGGAATATATTTACCGACTGCACAACAAAACTTATGCATGCAAATTGAAATGAGTAAAGCATCACCCTGCTTATCTGTTCATGATAGGAGAACAAATAAATAGTCTCTCAAAGTCCTACCCTGTGGTTTGAGCCTACCCTTTTTTGTGGTAGCCAACCGCTCCCCTTGGAAAAACTTACTTGCTTTGTCAAGCCAACTATGATAGGATAGAATTGGGATCCAGACATCAATCCACCATATCCTTTAAAAACCACTTTGTGTCCTCAACACGCCCTTCCTCAAAAAGTTTCTTAACTAAAACATTGTACAAGGTACCTGATGGCTGCAACCCCAATTTATGCATGTAAGTTAAAATGAGTAAAGCATCATCCCACTTATCTGCTCTAGACAGGGAATAAATTAGTCTCTCTAGAGTCCTTCCTTGTGGTCTGAGCCTACTCTTTATCATGGTGCCCAGCCATTCTATCCCCTTGGAAAATTTTCCTTGTTTGGTCAAGCCAACTATGATAGAATTGTGATTAAACATTGCAGGTTCCAGACCTTGATCCACCATATCCTTCAAAAAACATTTTGCTTCCTCAACACGCCCTTCCTCACATAGCCTCTCAATTAATGCCTTGTACAAGGTATTTTTCAATGTTGCAAAAAACGCTAAGGGGGCGCCTAGCGCCTAGGCGCCGATTTTTTATTTTTATTTTTTATTTATTTTTTATTTTTTTTAATTAAAAAAAAATTAAAAATTAAAAATTTTCAAAATTTAGTACTAAAATATAAGGTTTCCATAGTTATTCCTTAGAAACTATTTACAAAAGTGGTTGTAAAATTGTTCAAAAGATTGTTGAAACCATCTAAATACATAAAAAACTAAAATTAAGAGCTAAAGAAGCATTTTTTGAGAAATTAGTGGACCAAACCGCCTACGGCTGTTTGCGGTGTATAGATCTCGAAAAAATACGCGATTTGAAAAAAAAAATTGTCCAAATCGGACAACAGAGTCAAAAGTTATGCCTTCCGAAAGTTTTCTGACATTTTCAAAAAAAAAAAAAAAAAAAAATCGCCGAACCGGCCGGTTAGACGGTCTAGGCGGCCGGCCGCGGAGGAGGTCGCCGAGGCCATTCCTCGCGGCGGCCTCCTACCGCCTAGCGCCTAGGCGCGATTTTTGCAACCTTGGTATTTTTAGAAGATCATAAAACATTTTTAGACCATAAGAAGCATTTCCACCCTCACAAAAGCCCTGAATTAGGGAATTGTAAGTAATAGCATCACGAACAACACCTTTTCTTGCCATATGTTCAAACAATCTGTACGCTCTCTTAAACATTCCATTTGCACAATACCCGCCAATCAAGATGTTGAAGGTTACTGTGGAATCAACGAATCCTTTTTCAAGCATTTCCTTATGCAGCCTTTCTGCCTCCTTTAGATTACCTTTTGAGCTTTGCCCAGCATATTGCTCTTGGCAAGACTGTGAACTACCGTAGAATACATAACCCTATCTGGAGCATATCCCCTGTCCTTTATATATTCGAAAATTCGAAAAACTTCAAGCTTGTCTCTATTCTTGCAATCCCGCACACCATGAATAACTTCTTGATAAGTGTATATATCTGGAGAACAATTTTTGGCAATCATGGCAAAGAGAAGAGCTGTCATTCTAAAGGACTCATTGTTCTTGCAAGACTCATAAATCAATCTGTCAAACACAATATTACTAGGGACATGCCCACCTTCCAACAATTGCTGCAGAAGCAACAAAATGCATAGATTAAATACCCAACTGTATCCACGTCGCCTGCAACTCCACAACCCATCATATCCTCATACAGTTCCAAAACAGCATCAGTTTTTCCGGCTTTTACCGAACCAGAGAGGGCTGAATTCCAAGCATTCAGTGATGGACAGTGCCCAACTCCCTTCAATTCATCAAAAACCATTAGGGCTTCCTCAATCAACCCATTATCACAAAGACACTCAATATACCCCTCCAAACTACTAGGCTCTGGAGCATACTTTGTGCTCTCAAGAAAACTTTTTGCCAGGCTTCCAGCCTTGGCTTTCACAAGCCCACTAAAAACCACATCAGAGGAAACCGGGTCAGGCAAGAACCCATTCTGAGAACTAACCCAACGATAAAACCGAAGCGCCACCATCACACATTCTTTTGTCGCTTCAGAACCTCACAGTACAAATTAGGATCAGCAAAGTTCACACTCGGGAACTCGGATAACAAAGTCTGCGATATCTCACTAAAACGATGCTGCTTAGTATCACTAACATGATCCGAATTCAATGAGACAGCAGACCCTTCGCTACTATTAAAACAAATCTCAAATATAACACATACGATCAGCCTCATATTAACCAGGAATTTAAAATTGATCCACGAATAAACAATCAGAGCATTCCAAAAATCCAGGAAATCACAAACTAAAAATTATGCACATAGAACAAACGATAGAATCGCGCTGAGAATGAAACTTACAAGGAAGAAGACGAAACGTTGGTTCTGAAACTGCGGAGATTCATCCTGGAAACGACGGTAGAGCTCGCGACTGCGTCCATTTTACGATCTTCTACACACACACAGCGATCGAATGCAGTCTCTTATACGCAGAGAAAAAAGAAGATGAAAAAAATGAGTATTGAATACAATAGGGTTTAGAGTTTTAGGTGAAGTTGGTGAGTCAAAGAAAGGAGAAAACGGAAAAGACTTGTTCAAGAATGGAGGCTTAAGCGTGTAGAGTGTTCCAAACGCGCCACCGCCTTTCTTGGAAAGTGGTTGCGTCGGCTCCCTCTTAAACTTCAACAAATTCAGTACACGATTAAAGTCAATATTAGTTAAAGGTTTCAGTAGTCAGTATCCATCCCTGTCCAATTATTATATATAATAAATATAATAAATTATATTTAATTTTTTTTTTGAATGCTACTAGAGCTAATAACGCCTCCACTGAGGCTCGAACTTATAACCTTCCAAATGGAAGTCCAACCCGGATACCATTAGACCACATAGTCCTGGTAAATTATATTTAATTTAGTTGGTTTACAATTAAATTAAGGGTGTTTTTGAAAAGAGTTCTACTATATAGACTTCTAAATTATACTTTTTAAATTTTACGCTGATGTTGATTTGGCGGATCTTGATTGACTACTTTTTTTTATGTGGAATTAAATACAAGTGTCTATATCAAAATTTTGTGCGTGGGAGTAAAAGTTTTTTTTTTTTTTTTTTGAAAACCGGGAGTAAAAGTTGAGAGTAGAAAATTGAAGTACATGTAGTATTTCCTTTTAGAAATCCGTAAAATGATTTTTGGAAATAATTTCTTAAGTTTTCAGTAAATTGCGCAAAATGTAAGTCAATAGAAAATGAATGACTTTTTAGTCAAAGGAAAATAACTTCATTTTCTTGAAAAATAACTTCCCCTCTTTTTTGGGAAGTCATTTTCTAATTTTCACACCAACACCACACTACCACCCAATCATTATTGCATGGACCATGGTCCACACAATTATGTGAACCATAAATAAAAAGTACATTTTTAATATAATTATGGTACATTATTTATATACGTAAGGTAATTTTTAATATACTAAGGGTACATTATTTTATATAATATATATCCAGTACAAAAATAATGTACTTTTAATATATTAAAGATGTACATGATATTCATGGTCCACAGAATAATGTAGACTATGGTCCATACAATAATTTGCGCACTACCACCACTACCAGTCTACCACCACCATCACCTCACTACCACCATCAGTCCACGGCCACACTACCACCACCACTACTGCAATCGCCGCCATCACACCACTACCGCCCCCACCACCACCGTCGTCACCACCTCGACCACACCACCACCGTCATACCACTTGTTATTATTACTAGTATTTTTTAAGCACGATGCACAAAAAATAAGTGCCCAATATTAGTAATTTATATTAAGATTTTTGATATAATAATAATAATAATAATAATAATAATAATAATAATAATAATAATAATAATCATTTTTATACATTTGATATTTATATTGTAGGAAATAACTAAGTGCATAAGATAAGAAAATACATGGTGAATGCATGTGCATTGTAACAATAGTGGAAAAGATAACGAAAGTTATAACGTAGGGGTATGTTTGTCCGAAATATTGTAAAATACAACATTTATAGCATAATGTATTAAAAAAAAAAAAACACAAAAAAAAAAAAAACTTAACAAAAAAAGTGAACATAAATGAAGGGTATAACCTTCATTCACACTTATTATGTTTTTATATTTAGATTATTATTATTATTATTATTATTATTATTATTATTATTATTATTATTATATTATTATTATTATTATTATTATTATTATTATTATTATTATTATTATTATTATTATTATTATAATAATATAACAAATAACACCACCACCACTACTACCACTACGACTACACCACCACCACTACCACAACCATTACCATCACCAACACCGCACTATCATCACCACCACCACCATCATCATACTAGCTACCACTACTATACCAATTATTATTATTATTATTATTATTATTATTATTATTATTATTATTATTATTATTATCATTATCATTATTATACCACTACCACCACTATTACCACCACCACCACTACCATTGCCACCAACACCGTACCAACACTTTGATTAGTACTCTTTGTTCATAATTGTGGATTGTAAAATTTTGATTATTTTGGTTTGTTATTTTCAACTACAAGACTTTGGTTAGTCATTTTGATATTTTATTTTTTTATTATATTTAAATTTGTTATATTATTATTATTATTATTATTATTATTATTATTATTATTATTATTATTATATTATAAACAAAACAATTAAAATGTTTAATTATTAATAATGCAATTATACTAATTTTTTGAAAAATGAACAGAACCCATCAAGACATATTTATGAAATGTAACCAAACACTGGAAATGAAAATGTTTTATAGAAAATGGTTCATTTTTCAAAAGTCATTTTCATGATTTCCAAACAAACCCTAATAAAATTTTATTTTTGGCACTATTAAATCGTAAAAATTGTATAAAAAATTATATATTTGATAAAATTACACTGTCAATTAAGGTCCATTTGAAAAAAAAAAAAAAAATCCTTCCAAAAGTCATTTTCAAAATGTTTTCGTGTTTGGATATTTAAGGAAAATAAAGTCAAAAAAAATTATTCATTCTAGTCAATAAAAAAAAAAAAACTCAATTTGACAAAAATATCTTCCTAAATTTTTAGTCGGAAGACATTTTTCAAATTCTTTATTTTCCTGTATTTATCTTCTCTCTCATGTCTTTTTAAATTAATTTTCATATTATTATTACCACCGCCTCCAAACCACAACAATCATTACTACCACCACCACACAACCACAATCACCACTTCTACGGCTCTACCACTACTAGCACCAATATTTGTCAAGTTTCTACACAGACCATAAATTTGTATAGTTGACCTCATATAGCATTATAACATAAGTTATATTAAATGACTGTTTAGTGCTTTTTCAATAAATAAATTTTTTAAAAAGTAATTTTAATGAATGTAATTTCCGGAAAACACTTTGATTTTAAGAATTACATTTTTAACTTTCACACGTCACAACATTTACCAAATATTAATAATATAACTTCCTTTCCTTATAAATTTACTGAGTACAGAAACAGGCTTCTGTATAGGTCTATTGGGCTGAACTAAAAATAATTTAGCCCAGATAACAGAGCCCAACTAGCCCAATCTTCTGCCCTGTTCAAGCAATAGAGCCCATATACAATTTTCCCGCAAATTATGCTGTGGACTCGTGTCCACAATGCGCCAAAACGACATCGTTTTAAGGGAAAACACGGCCTTTCAGTTAAATTTTTTATTTTTTGATTTTTTACGCCGTTAACGGCGTTATTCGTTTGTGGCATTATGAATGTACAGTTATAGAATTATGAATGTACACTTATGCAATTATGAATGTACAATTATAGAATTATGAATGTAAGTTATGGAATTATGAACACAGAGCTCTTACATTATGAACTTACAATAATGAACATATAGTGATAAAATTATGAACATAGAGCTCTAAAATTGTGAACATAGAGTTTTGAAAATTATGAATTTACATTTATTGAATTATGAATGTGCAGTTACAGAATTATGAATGTACAGTTATGCAATTATGAATGTACAGTTATGCAATTATGAACACAGAGCTCTGACATTATGAACTTACAATTATGAACATATAGTGATAAAATTATGAACATATACTCTTGTAACAAAGTGGTCTGAATTTTTTTTTTTTTTTAAAAGTGGAAGAGAACGGTGCCGTTACCGTGTCCAACATGCATGCTGGACGCGGGTCCATAGCATAACGATTGCAATTTTCTCAGTCGTATATCGTGCACCGCGGTGCATAATTGATTATGCACCGCGTTTCAAAACGGCGCCGTTTTTGCAATTATAACGAAGTGACACTATAGTGTGTCTAAATCAACATTGTCTCACGTATTATTTTTATATTATCAAATGAAACTGCAGTTATATCAAAATGATACTGTAGTTATGGTGAAATAAAACTACAATATATATAAAATGAAACTGAATAACATTTCACATATTTGAGTGTATATCTACTATACTAATAAGTGCCCAAGAGAGTTAGGCCTATAATGGGTAGAAAAAATGGCGGTCAAATGTTTAAATCAAATGAATGGTTCAGATTGATCAGATTTTAATTTTTTCTTAAGATTTTTAAATTTATCCTTAATTATATGATTTTCTTTCCTTAAATACCCACACACCGTTAACTTTTTCCGTTAAACATTCTAATCTCCGTTAAATTTGTATAATTCGTTGTTAATATTCTCCGTTATCTTGCTGATGGCATTAATTTAATTATTGAAATTGTTTAAGATTTCTTGTGTTGTTAGACTTCTAATAATTCCCTAACAAGAAGTCTCATAATTGTATAATTCTCCGTTGATATTGCCATCTTGCTGATGACATTTAATTTAATTATTGAAATTGTTTAAGATTCCTTGTTTTGTTAGACTTCTAATAATTCCCTAACAAGAAGTCTCAATATAAGCTGATTCTCTGCATGTTCATGGTGTTGCTGTTCCAAATTTCCAATTGTTGATGGTATCCGCAATGTTCTTGATCACATTAGAGCTCTAATGGATGGATGAGAAGCAAAGCAAACTCGCTTTCTTTGGATTAATCTTCGTGAAGAACCAGTGACTACATATTTTTATCATTTCTCAAAGCCAATTTCAGGTTTCAGAGAATTTATTTGTTACGCTTTATGTCAAGAACATCTTTTTATATATTTTCATTCCTTATTGGTTTAATATGTTAGTGGAGGAGCTCAATCAAGGAATATTGTGTAATTATTATTCAGAGAAAATTTCAATTTTGATCATATGACTATAGGGGCTGTGTTAATTTCAACACCTGACTTTCAAAAGTGTCAATTTAGTACCTTGACTATGCAATTTTTATCAATTTTGGTCACTCTGGTTGCCGGTAATTTGACCAGAGTGACCAAAATTGATAAAAATTACATAGTCAAGGTACTAAATTGATACTTTTGAAAGTTAAGTGCTGAAATTAACAAAACCCCTATAATCAGATGACCAAAATTAAAATTTTCTCTAGTTTAAAATAATGAAACTAATAATCTCGTCTGCTGACATAGGGCTATTGATTTACTAATCCAGTAATCCTAAACTAATAAAACTAATAATCTAATTCCTAATCCTAAATATATATATATATATATATATATATATATATATATATATATATATTTTAAATTTTCGGGGACGGGGCAAGGCGGGAAGGGGTATCCCGTCCCCGTCCCCGTCGAGGAATTCCTCAAATTTCCCATCCCCGTCCCCGATCCCCGAATATTTTCCCCGTCCCCGTCCCCGTAGGGAACGGGGATCCCCAACAGGGACGGGACACATTGTCATCCCTAACCATTCTTCACACTGCTGCTCACGGCTTTCTATACTATCATTATTTAAGAAAAGAATTCGCATGCAATATCTTTGTTAATTTGTTGAGAAGTTTTGCTACGTCTATACTGCATCAGATTCATCGGCTGCTTCAACGTAGAGAAGTATTCAATGGCATGCACGTACCAATTCTGAGTGGATGTTAGGAAGGTTCTAGTGATAGTAGTGACTGATCGTCTTATGTACTTAGCCCTTGTAAAACACATCGGTGAACATCTAGTGGATTGGACAGACGTGAGTTTTTCCACAGACGTAGGAGAAGTGCTCCGAACTGCTTGATCAATTCTGGTGTACTTAATTTATTTTTTATATCTTTTATTTCGTTATTTATTTTCTTTAAATAACTTAATTAATTGGTCTGGTAATATCTATACTAAAATCAAGTAAAAGGATATATCTTGCATTCAAGATTCATGGGATCTACTTGATGTTAACTTTAGATAATTCCGGACTGATGATTAATTTTGTTATTTAGCAATAATAAATAACGAAATCTAGACGCAAGAAATAAATCAAGTACACGATAATTGATCACGCAGTTCGGAATACTTCTCCTACGTCTGCGTGCAACTTACATCTGTCCAATCCACTAGAGATGTTCACCGATAAGTTTTACAAGAGGTGAGTACATAAGGCTATCAACCACTACAACCTTCTTAACATCCACTCAGGACTGATACATGCATGTCGAGATAATCTTCAAGAGTAGCTTCAGCTGACCCAGGTATATAGACTGTATGTCTCCGCGGAAATTCCACAACAAACTAAAATTAGCAATCAGATTTGGAATGTTGAAGTATTTGGAATTTCACTTCTCTTAAATCAGAATAGGAATGCGCGAACTTCCATATTGATAAAGCCTTCCTTTTATATTATTCTTCACTCCAACAAACTTCCCCAAGTAAAAAGCCATCCACTCAATGCAAAATACCGCAGCCACTCAAAAATATTAAATCCCTTAATATTAGCTTCAACATCACATACATGCTGACTTCCTCTTCAATATAAAATAACCACTGATCATGAGCCATTAGATAAATCATGTCCTTATAATAAGAAACGGTCTAAAAGCTTTGTCTAAACTAGTCTTAATTATTTGATAAATAAATTAGAAAATATATAATGTTTAATGTGTACCAACTTTATACACTTTCAAAAAAAATTTTTATTATTTTGTTTAGAATATAACTACTTTTATTTTAAATTCCATGCAACATAAGTTTTGGCTGTATTCAGTGGAGGAGCATTTTTTTTTAATCAATTTTAAGATGCCTTAATGCCTTTTTATTTTTTAGTTATTTAAATTGATTTATTTATTTATTTATTAGGGGGATTTTGGGAAAGATTAATCTTAATATTTTTCCAAAATGTATATGTGTTGTGTTAGTTTGTAGCAGTTTGGAGAAAATAATATTTTTGGTGTTTTGATTAAAGACAAAATGTTAAAATGGCGAGTTTGTTAAAATTTTGGCGAGTTAATTCCCAATATTCTACATCATCAATTAAAAATGGAACGAGAATTATATATGTTGGTTTTACGGCCTTCGGATGCCGCTCGGCGAGCCAACACTACCGTAAAATACTTAAAGATGCTAGTATGAGTAAAGGACTAGTGTAATCGAGAGAATAATGTAGTATTATTTCTTTAGGGTTTCGGCCGCTTGAGTGCCCAAAAAGATTTATCGTCTACACAGAGATCCCGGGGGGATCTTTATATAAGAGCTCAAGATTCGTGTAAGAAAAATAGGGTTGACGTAGAGCTAAAATCTACAAGGAAAGTAGGGCTGACGTAGAGCCAAGCTAGTTAAGGAATCCGGCTTCCTTAATACTATAACTATCTAAACTAATAAAGGAAGCTACTTGTATTAAATAGGGAAAGAGACCTCCACGTAATCTGCTTGCAAGCGCCTTTGGCCGAGTACCCAGTTAGGGACACCCTGACTACCCAGGAGATGGCTTGAGGGGTCGCGGTACTCGAGCGATGACACCCCGATCGCAGAGCCTGGTCGCCCGATTGAGTTCCTGAGTGGTACCCAGTCGAGGACACACCGCCAGCGAAGCCTGGTCGCCCATCTGAAGTCTAGCGAGGCATTCGGCCAGGGACACGCCGACTACCGAGGTTGGTCGCCCAACCGTGTCTCATGTGCGAACCCAACCGAGGACACACTGACTACTGAGCCTGGTCGCTCTACCCAAGCCAGCCGATTTCCGCCTAAGTAAGCGTTTGCTCCTGTGGACGGCTGGTTGCTGGGGATGGCTGACTGCGATCTCCAGGCGCCTCTTATGGCGAACGAGAGCCATGAATGTCGTCCCGCACGCTAAGTATCAAACCGTGCTCAAATCTGACTGCCTTGCCTGACACTCGAGACCAACAATCCGATTTGGGGTATCTATCAATATAAATTGAAAAATGAAATGAATATTAATAATTGACCGAAAATTAAAAATGAAAAAAGGAATGGAAATTAGGTTAATTGGAAAAGGAAATGAATATTAATAATTAACTAAAAATAAAAAATGATCCATAATTGACTAAAATGAAAAAGGAAATGGTCAAATTATTGCATTTTAATTTTTCACAATAATATTACACAGTAGAATAAATCAAATCACAATTATATCATAAATCTTTCACAATTTCAAATAATGAAACGGAAATTAAAAATGAAATGAAAATATTTCAATAATAATATTCTACATAATCAAGTAAAGGAAAATTAAAAATGGAAAGGAAATATTTCAATAATAATATTCTACATCATAAATAGCAAAGACATATTTTTAAAAAAATAGTAAAAGTAAATTAAAAATGGAACGAAAATTAAAATTAAAATGAAACAAAACTATTTCAATAATAGTATTCTACATCATCAAATAAAAATGAAACGAATGTGGCTTGGCGGGATTTTGAGTGGTGCCCCCCGGTCTGGAAGCGATCGTGGGAAACGAGCGTCTCAGAGCTTCTTGGTCTCTTAGAGGAAGAAACTAGTCTTTCTCTTTTGGGGTATCCCCCCTCCTTGATGATTTAAAAAAAAAAAAAAAAAGAAAAGAAAAAGAAACGAAAATTAGATAAAAATATCACTGCATCTATATTCTAATTGACTAAAATAAAAAAGAATAATTGGTTGAAAATGAATCTAATATTACTAATTGACTAAAAATATAAAAAGAAATGCATATTAATAATTGACTGCAAATAAAAAATATACATAATTGACTAAAATAAAAGAAATGGTCAAATCATTGCATTTAAATTTAAAATGGAACGAAAATTAAAAATTGGACGAAAATATTTCAATAACAATATTATACATCATCAATAGTAAATGCATATTTTAAATAATAGTAAAGGTAAATTAAAAATAGAACGGAATATTTCAATAATAATATCTACATCATCAATTAAAAATGGAACGAAATTTAGGTAAATATATCACTGCATTTGATATTCTAATTGACTAATTGACTGAATATATAAAAAAAAAATTGGCTGAAAATGAATATGATATTACTAATTGACTGAAAATATAAAAGGATCACTAATTGAGTGATATTCTACCATTATATATTTTCACCCTTGACTGAAAATAAAAAAAGAATAATTGGCTGAAAATGAATATGATATTACTAATTGACTGAAAATATAAAAGGATCACTAATTGAGTGATATTCTATCATTATATATTTTCACCCGAGTAACCCGCCTTGATGGACTGAAAGTGTTAGCTCTAGACGAGGATGGACAAGATTATGTTGTCACTACCAATGTCGTCTACAAAGAGGTTTCAATAATGTGTAAATATAATCGGTGATATTATGTTTTTTTTTTTTAAATGAAAAAATTGCTATATATCTAGACAAAAAATATATCTTCCATACAAAGGAACTAGGATAGCAATTCATTCCTATAACTAAGTTGTTAGAGAACAGGCACATTTGTGCACCGCATGCGTACCAAACCATATACAAGCAATGATAACATCAAAATACATAAACGATCCATATCTTTAATTGCACTGTATAATATTTGATGTTCTAATTTAAATAATTATATATCGATTCAAATATTCTTAATATATTACAACAAAATCATTCCTTCAAATATTCTTAATATATTACAACAAATTCATTCCGTGCAAAGTACGGGTGAAAATACTAGTTCAATTTAATGATCTATTTTGTAAAGTGAACCATGATATAATAATTTTTATCAAATCATACTGTAGACTATGTTTCACATTGTACATACTACAAATATTAATATCCTGAATGTTCATTTTTAATATATTGAAAATTCATTTTTATTTAGTATATCTAAAAATAAACATTTAATATGCTAAATGAATATTCAGTATATTAAAAATGCACCTTATGCCAGTGATGGACTTGAAAAATGAACTATAATATAATAATTGAAGCAAAAGGTATAAAGCATAGATATTGGTTTCTCAAGCTTTATCATATATGATATGAAGTTCCAAATTCAGAAATCAGAATGTTCAAAACTGTGCATCTTTCTCAACTCAGTTTTGAGGATTTAAAAGAGATGCTGCGTTCATATTACATTTTCACTCGCTAATTTGTGTCTTGCATTATATTGCTTACAGCCCAGGCAATGGGTACTGTGTTGTCACAGCTTCAACTCTTGTGCGCAGACCTGCAACTTGATCCGTCAAAGGAAAGTCTGGGTACGTAACAAATTTCATGAAATCTTGGAGCTTGGGACCCGACACCAATTTCTTGGATTCGAGAGTGATTTGCACTCCCTCGTGAATGAAGTCTGCAACTGCCATGAATTCATTCTCGGTGAAACCTCTGGTGGTCATGGCTGGTGCCCCGATACGGATGCCACCAGGGACTAGCGCACTTTTATCACCTAGATAATCGAATTTGAGGTTGTGAGTACAAAGACCTAAGAGAATGACAAATATCAAATGTCACAATCTAATTACCGGGTACAGAATTCTTATTGAGTGTGATCGATGCCATGTCAAGGATTTTCTCCACTCTAGCACCATCAATACCCTACATTGACATTAGGGTTAATTTAAGATTTCTAGCAATAATTAAGTATGATAGCCGAAGATGGTAGTAGGCAAACAACAATAATAATATATAATCCACATGATTTTCCCAAAGCTAGTATGATATATATTTATGGCAAGTCAGCAAGCAAACAAATTGTTGAAAGAAATGCAATAGAGCAAGCAAGGAACTTACCATGGGTCTCAGATCCACAAGAACCAAATGATTGTCACTTCCGCCTGATACCAGTTTGTATCCCAACTCCACTAACCGGCGTGCAAGAGCTCTACAATTGGAAACTACCTGTACAATAGATAAATGCTTTAAACTTCTCTGGAATGTGGGCCACAACACAATCAAAGGGGAAAAAGATGCAGTACCTTATTCTGGTAGGCCTTAAATTCAGGTGACTTTGCATACTTCAGGCAGACGGCTAAACCCCCAATAGTGTGATTATGTGGACCACCCTGCCAGGATAGACATGAAGGTTTCTAAGCTAATACTACCGAGAAGAGAGAATATACAGTCAATTTATAGTGAATTAGTAGGTGATGACTATCATAGAGTAAATCTAACTGACCTGTAAACCAGGAAAAACAGCATTATTAATGGCAGTTTCTAGATCAACTCCGAGAACAGGATCCTTCTTGAAAAATATCATACCGCCCCTAGGTCCTCTCAAAGACTGAATAAACTTGTTTAGGTTAGATAATTGGATGACAATATTATTTGGAGTGCACGGTAGAAATATCATACATTCTGCTGCTAGTACCAAAAAAATTCATTAACAAGAACATGAAATTCAATTGTTATTCATACATGCAAGTAAAAGAACTGGAGAAAACAGGTTTTTTAATTAAGTTAATTAGACTGTACAAGGGTTGTACTAAAAAAAAAGGACTGTACAAGGGTTCAAACATTGCCTTATGTTTTATATGCATAAATCAACAAGGAAGAAATAAATAGAGACTTTGACATCAGATTGACCACCTGCCAAGATGGTAAACCCTAATAAGGAACATTAATTGGTGCAAAAAGCCTAGGAGAAAGAGCTTAAGAGATTATAATGTGGAGTGGCAGAAGATGAAAATCAACAAGGGGTTAGACTGGGAGAAGGTTTATAAGGTTAAGATAGCTTAATTTTCAGTAGATAAGCTTCTGTTTTTATTTTGGGCTTTTTTGGATAATTCAAGTCTTTCTTGGGGTAATACTTGGTAGGGTTGAGAGGCTCTCTGGAGCTTCTCTGTTGTTAATCATTATACCTGTGTGACTGGGTGGGATACTCATAACGAATTAATAGATAAATAAACTTCACATAGCGATCAATATAGTTTTGCAAAACTTGGTGTCCATTAAACAAAAAGCATAGCAGAGTTACTGTCATGTTGTAATGCGTTTTTCCACTTAACAAACATATCTCAAATTCATCCTGGACCAAAAGCAGCTTTTCCAAATCAAGAACAAGTTCAAAAAATCATAGCTTGAGACTAGTAGGCTACTCTACTGCAAGAAAGTTGAAACTTCACCTTGTGGGTAGTTGTTGTAACAATGTCACAGTACTCAAAAGGGTTAGCAACCACAGAGGCAGCAACAAGCCCACTGATATGAGCCATATCCATCATTAGAAAAGCACCAACAGCATCTGCTATCTAAGGATTTATAGGAAGCCAAGTAATTAGACCCAATCGAACAGAAAAGGAACAGAGGAAAAAATATGATATCACGTTTAAAAGATACAGAAGTAAGATAATTTAAAAAAAAAAAAAAACCATATGACTATACCTTTCTCATTCGAGGATAATCAAAATCTCTAGGATAAGCACTAGCACCAGCAATAATAAGTTTAGGCCTAAAGAGTGTAGCAGTTTTCTCAAGCATGTCATAGTCAACAATGCCTGTATAGTATTTAGGGAAATATGAAATTAAATAACATTCAAGGTCATTCCAGAATAAGCTTTTGGCGAACAAATATAAAGAAGAATCCACACCTGTTGATTCATCCAGTCGATAAGGCATAGATTCAAAATAAATAGATGTCCCAGAAACCCGTCTCTTGGGAGTCATGAATCCATGGGACAAGTGCCCCCCATGAGGCAAGTCCAGTCCCTAGGACATGATAATGTCAGAAGATTTTCAATCAACTGAAGGGAGAAAAAGGAAGGTATAAGTATATAACAGTAACATTTACCATTATTCGATCATGTGGATTAAGAATGGCAGTATAAACTTCAAAATTTGCTGGAGAACCAGACAATGGCTGAACATTTACACCCCATTTGCTTCCATCTAAGTTAAATGCTGCCAATGCCCTTTCTTGACAAAGAATCTCTAGCTCATCAATGTATTCATTCCCACCATAGTACCTAATACAAAAGAGGGTAAAAGAAAAAATGAAAAAAAAAAAAAAAAGAGGGGGTTGTTCGTGAGAAAAGGTCTAACACAAGTGACATACAAAAGTATGTAATTGCACAGTTCTCTTTAACAGGGAACTTCACCTTTTGCCAGGAAGTCCTTCAGAATATTTGTTTGTGAGGCAAGAGCCAACTGCTTCCATCACTGCTCGTGATGTGAAATTCTCTGAGGCAATGAGCTCTAAGCTTCTAAATTGACGATCTTTCTCTTTGTTGATAATAGACCGGACTTCAGGATCAGCTTCGCTTAAATCATAGTCCAGGAAGCTGCTACCAGCACCTAGAAATTGGAATTTTCAGCTCCATAAGTATTTTATTCCTTTTGTAAACTCCAGTAACATGAATATAAGAATTTATATACTTCAGCTTCAATCAATAAAGGCACTGTAATTAAAGGGAGCACCTTTCATCAACTACAGAAAGTCAAGAAACAAGGTATGCAACAAGATTATTTGTGCAAAATAAGGATGAACCGAGCACCAAAATATGCCCTAAAGTAACTAAGCTTGCCAAACCATTCTTACACTACAATTTGTCAGGGATAAATGATAAACGGGATAAATTTCAACTAATTTATTTCATCCTTCAGGCACATACACTAAAATTTGAGTACTTGCCTCCAATTTCCTGCACTGAAATGGAAGAGCTCGACCTCCCAGTGGCCAAACTTCCTTCAAGTTGGGTCGCTCTACAGGCCCGCACAGAAAAAACCCTAACTCTATCAGGATTCAAACACATTCCAGAGCCTTTCAGAGGAAAAGCAGACCCTTTTTTCGAAACAGGTTGCTGAACAGAACCCATAACCGCGGCGCCACAGCAAGCTTTCATATTGCCTTAAT